ACCGGTACTAAGAGAAATTAAAAAAGCAAAAATAAAAAAAAAAAAAATAAAAATAAAAAAAAAAAAAAAAAAAAAAGGTGACGTCACAAATTTTTTACCTCCCCCCTGTCACAAAGTTTCACAAATTCTCTCCCCGCTCCTGAGCGTGACGTAATTTGCAAACGACCCCCTAAGGGAAAAGAGATGGATGCATTCTAATCCTTGCCTTTTAATTTGATTCTATTTCAATATATCCTATATATATTGAAGGCAAGGTTAAATCTTAAGTTAACACATTGGTAATGTAGGGCATCAATAGAGGATCCTTTAAGTCAAAGCTCGCCCAATGAGCCATGCATGAAGTATTCGAATTTGTGAGACGCCTGATGACGTCGACAAGAGGAGCCTGTCTCAGCCATCTGGTTACGGGTATAAATAAAACTGACGAATGGTGCCTGGGAGATCCGGACAACTCCGACGGTACCACTGGTCCTCACGTTATCAGCATGAGACACTCACTTTTTTGTCACGCCCCTTCTCCAACTCATCTCTGAGAGCACCAACTCAACCCCTTCCCACTTCCCCTTCCCGCATGCCCTTCCCATCCTCACTCCGCACCCCAGCTCCCCCCCACCCCCACCAACTTGCCACCAGCAGAACCCTTCACATCTAATCCATCATCATCATGTGCTCGTCCCATTCTCTTAGATGACTCAGCGGACAAGTGATCCAACCAACCACGACACGGCTCAGCCCCTCCAAGTAAAACCCACAACTGATCTAAATCACGCGTTTCTTTGCATATCGTTTTTCTTGTAATCACGTTAATGTCTGCTCGATACTATGGGAACTTCCTTTCGCTATGTATTTCCCTCCCAAACTAAGAGTTTGGCCTTTAGTATTATTTAAATTCTTCCGAGGGTCGAAGGATCAAATTTAATTAAATTTCCAAAACGATTCAAATTTTGAATTTCCTTTTTTTGTGTGAAAAAGTATTGGTAATTATTGAAATAGTGAAGGCAAGATAATGAAGAAAAGGCGAACAAGAAGAAGATCGCAAACTGTATTCATATTTCTGGCATTGTCTCATATGACCACAAGGCGTACACAAAGTTGTGTGCTTAAGATACGATTTGAGATTTGTATGACCTATGACTTCTTCTTCTTCTTCTATATCTAAAGGGCCCACGATCAATTTATTAATCATCTTGGAGCCACGACCGAGTCGAAACAAAGGTAGAAAACTGGATCGGTATTTTGTATTCAGCTGCTTAACAGTTATGTCCCCCTGACACCCATTTTCATCCAATTTATCAAATAAATTGAATTTAAAAAAAAAAAAAAAGATAGAAATTGTTTAAAATAAATAATCAATGGAAAAGATTTAAATGTACAAAATTATACAGTTTTATTGATGGATTTTTTACATGCTTTTTAAACAAATATTCACAGTTATTTCCCTTGAAAAAAAAGTCACCTCCCTTCTTTAAAAAAAACAAACAAAAAAAAACAAAAAAACAAACAAACAATTCAAACAATGAATCTTTTGAGGCATCATTTTGTTTCATCCAGCGCTTGACTCTCTAATCAACTCCCTGTTCTTTACCAGCAAGACCTCTGGAGATTTGAAAAAGCCTCTCTCGTGCGTGCACCAATCTGGGAGATCTTAGGCTTAGATCATGGGGTGACTGTGGTGGTATTCCAAATGGAACTGTCAAAATAATAGAAAGAGGACCAATGGTTTAATAGTGTTCCCTACATAGTCTAAATAAATAACCGTTAAACGCTACGACCCGCGGTGTGATTCCGGCCCATTGCCCATTTTCTATTTGAACCACTAGCTAAGTGGTTCTCAGCGTTCCTGATGCCGTGACCCTTTCCGCGACAGTTCCTCATGGTGTGGTGACCCTAAAGCATTGAATTATTTTCGTTGCTACTTCATAAATATATGTGTTTTCCGATGGTCTTAGGCGACCCCTATGTCAGGGTCATTCGAACCCAAAAGGGGTCGCGACCCACAGGTTAAGAACCACTGCACTAGCCGAATTCGGATTATTTACAGTTCGCAATATTACAATATAAGCTATAGATTAATGAGACAAACGTCTTAATGTGTAAGACAAATCTTTAGTTGTCTTGTGGCTTCATCATAATTTTTAACTGAAAAGTTATCCTTTTCGAAAAAAAAAAAAAGTTATCCAAATGATGAGTCGTTATAAAAATTGAATTTCAATGCTTTAAAAAAACAACAACAACAAAAAAGAAACAAAACAAATTATACAATCTTTAAGAACGTACACATGGCGTGGTGTAGATCACCATGGAAAGAGGCAGGAAATGACGTCATGAGTGGACCTGGTGATACTCTCGCCTGACCGGACGAATTAAGGTATGCTCCACGAGAC